AAAAGGTCCATGGAGACTCATTGAGGCAAGCCTTGACTTTGGCAAATGCAGCCACGCAGATGGAGAGAATAAATATTGGACAGGGATCTCACATCACTTACAGAGTTGGGAAAGAGAATAATCAAAAGTGAAAACAAAAGAACGATCCAATGCAAAAGACATCAGCGCACACAAGCAAGTCCATATTGCTGATCATTCGAGCCACCAACTCAACTTTAAATGAGTAATGTGTTCTGCATGATTGGCTATAAAACTAACAGTGCTTGAAAGCATTTCCTATGTATTTCCCATTTCCAATTAATTATGAAATAAGTACATTTTTCCACTTTACGTAATGGATAACAACACCCTATAGCCTAGCTATTTAGCCTAAGCAGGCGTGTCATGTCACAAATATTGCAGGACGATTTATCAACCAAACCTCTTAGGGTTATTGGTTTGTTGAAATCACTAACCCCGGTTATGAGCAATAATGGCACCGTTCACACACCAATCAATTTCACTGATAAGCAAAATTCCTGATTGCATGTAGAGGTGTGCTGATCCGATATTCAGTATGCATATCGCTCCGATACTGCCATTTTCTGCCGGATCGGGGTATCGGTCAGACGAGACCGATCCAAATCCGATATTGTGCGTATACTATTCTGTGTTATTGTTAAGCTCCAAGAAAACCACATTGACGTATCGAAAGTATGCACAGATTAAAAAAAAAAAAAAACTAATGTGGTCGTATGTGTGAATATCAGCTAATTTACAACAACTCAAAGCAGATCATTCAATCAGATATCAGAGTCTGAACTCTGATTATAACAGCAAAAAAATGCAGAATAGGCCTATATGATCAAATAGCCTAGATTGGAACTGACTCTGTGGAACGACTGAAATTGAATTGACAAAAAAAAGTGTCTCTGTTTTTTGGGTCTCTTCAAAGCAACTGGATTTATTTTTTTTTTTTTTTTGAAAGGCCAATATACACGTCTGATTCCAGTTTGTGTGTGTGTGTGAGTGTGAGAGAGAGAAAGAGAGGAAGCAAGAGATTTCTATGGTTCCAAGGCCACAGGGGAGAATGTTGTTCGTCAGGTATAAAGAACTCTAGACAAACACTCCTGCCTTGACTGTAGTCAGCTTTTCAGCAGCTGAAAGCCATCGTCACTAGTGCACGCGTGACCATAGACAGAAAGTGAAACATGCTCGTCTCTCAGTGCAATCAGAGAGTGGAGTGTGCGTAAGATGAAGAGACAGAGTAAACGAGAGAAATGAGGAATAGTGACAACGTAGTTGGCAAATACAGACAAAAAAAAAAGATGTAGTCCTCTAAATAAGTGCTTCGCAGCTGAGGGTCGCAGATCTGTTCTGATTGGGTCTTAAAAAGCAAAATCAAAATGCAAATCATAAAATGCAACTACATAATCATGCACTGAATAGAAAAATAAACAACTAAATACAATCTACTTTTAAAAGGGATGCCAATGCACTTTCTGTTTTGTTGTTAACATTAGCAATTGTACATCCAAACAGATTCTGCAATACAGTCTTGAGGAAGGAGGCAAAGGTGCTAATATGGAAAAAATGTGTTTCCGTGGCCACAACATCCTCTGGCCCCATCAATTGTCTACTCATCCATCACTTTCACACATATGGGCCGGACATGAGTGATGCAGTACCTCTTGCACATACAAATACACATCACAACTTTATAGGGCTGAAAGAAAAACATCGGCCTTGAGTTTAAAAAGCTAGTCTTATGCATTCACTTTTTGGACATCTATAAGACTCTCTGCCTAAAACACCAATGGGACCCACTTTCGATGAGGCTTTTTGACTGGGATGTCAGCCGTTTAAGAAGGAAGTTATTGCATTTTGATGAAAGATTACGAAGACAAACATATTAATAACATGCACCGATGAATCACGCACAATAAGACCAGGAACGCGTATTAAGAAAGTAAATAGGGTCAATTTTGATTACATGATGACTTTAGGGTTGGCTGATTGTGCGTGTGTGTGCAACAGCTCCTCACACTCGTTAATCATCCTTTTATCTTCCAGCAATTTCTAGAATGAAACTGCTCCCTGTAAGCGCTGGAGGCATCTCTACCCTCCCTCTGTCTTTCCTGTCTTCCTTCCCTTCCGTTTATATCTCATGCTCTAGGTTAACGGCAGATGTGAGGAACCATTCAAACAGGTCATGAGTCAAAGGTTACAGACTTCCCAGAGTTTTGTGAAGATTATTGTGGAAAAAAATTACTTGTCTGCTGAAAAGAAAAAAAAAAAAGAAACTCAATCTTGCCAAACAATGTGTTTCAGAAATCAAATCAACTACTAGCGATGTAATTTTCCCACATATAAAACTAAATTATAACTTACATTAACTTGACACAAACTTTTTTTTGTGCTTATTTGTGTCATTTATTTTGTATTTTCATTCTTGAAAAAGACTTTCTGTATGGAAGCCCCTTTCCGCATTTACCAAAAAGTAATTGTAAGATAAAGATACTAGTCAATTGTGAGATACAAAGTCCCTATTGTAAATTATAAAGTTGAGGCAGTGAGTTTTGGATGAGCAAGAAATGAAAAAATCTAGTTATTTTCAGAAATTTGCATCACATTTGCAAAAAATATAACTGAATCACAAACATCCCAACACATCCTCCAGTGGGATGGAAAACAAGTTCAGTGAACCCCACACCGGAACTCTGATCAGCCCCTCTCTCTCACACAATAAGAGCTTCTTTGTGTCCTGGAGGACCGCTGGAGTGTTCTCAGATCTAAAATTAAGTTAGCCTGTCAAATGACTTCACTTTACTGCAAAACAAAAAGCTAGAATCCAGAATCAACAACAAAGTTGGCAGTTGAAGTGGCTTACGACAGGCTGAAATGTAGACTGCGCAGTTGGGGATTTAAAGGACAGGTGTTTTATATTCTCACTCGAGTGTGTGTAATGTTTTTTTGGCAGAGAGGTGAGCGGCTTATCACGTAGTGAAGAGAGAGATTAGCAAATATTCACTTGCTGGAACACGGGCCAGCTGGATGCTGCCCGTCCACCTTCTTACGTGTGTGTGTAATGGGAGACTGATAGCAACACCTTGTCACAGAAGTGCTAGTCCATGCTTATGGTGAACTCGCCCGTCAGCGAATATAAACCTGGGAGCTGAACGCAACAGAAAGGCCCCTACACAAAGAGAAACATTCATGAGTGAATAAAAAAAAAAACACAGAACATGCATTCTGAAGACCTTTTGATAACAATCACATGGTAGAACTAAAAAAATTAACAAGACCTATTCAAATATTACTCATCATAAGGGAAATAAATAAACAGATGAGGCCTGGTGCAAGATTTTAACCAACACGTTCTAATAAAGCACACATCTATCTACATATATGAAGTCCAATTGACTTTTAAATAGTGGTTCTAAACCATTAGGCCCTCCTAAGTTATTTTTGTAACAAAAATAACACGTCCATTTAATGCTGTATATGTGTATTTGTATTGTTTTTAGTATTTTAATTAAGATTGTGTTAATTTAACTCCATTTAAACATGAAGTGACAATAAAACTAGGAGCATTCCTTACGTAGTAGCCTATAAATTGATCAATGTTGGTTTCTGTCTTTAAATTAAGCCAATTACCACAAAGTAACCCCACCCCAAATTCCAAAGTACATATTTTGGCATCTTTATAAGAGAGTGAAGTCATCTTTAGTCTCCTCATACACTGTTTGTAATTTCGCGGCTGTTTTTTCTCTGAGAACGTTCTGTCTCAAATTGTTCCCAAAAGTGTCGTTAGACATAAACGAATAGCAGCCTGTCACACACTATATCAACTGTAAATAGCCTGAAGATGGGAATAGTGAGGGAAATGTGCAGCAAAAGGAGAGAACGGGACGAAATTCTCACCACAAAACAAGCGCTCATCAACCGTTGGTAGTTAAAGGCGAGCGGATGTAAGTGGGACAGCGGCAGCGTTCTGTGTAGAGCTCGAGCTGCATCAAACTATCCCTCGCGCCCCGCAACACTGCACTTTAAGTGAATTACGTGTCCTGCGCGTGCTCTAATCTGATTTCGGCAACACATGCCACGTAACAAATCAAATTTGAAACAACCCAGATACAGAGAGTGAGAGAGAGAGAGGAGTGAGAGAGAAGGGGAGTCAGTCATTGCGCATTCCGATGGTTTAAAAGCAGAGACGGAGCGGCGCATGTTTTCAACACTGAACTCGAGCCATTTCAGTCACATGTCTCCTATTCATGCATGAGCTGACACTGCGCTGCGGATCATATGCGTTCAATGTAAAACAATTATTTATGGCTCTGATGCATGAACTATTATATAAAGGAGTAAAAACTATACTAAGGCACCATTTACAATATTTTCCCCCAAACTGATAAATGATTAGATTACAATACATACATGGCCTGCTATATATATATATATATATATATATATATATGGATGGATGTGCGTAAAAGTTGATCCTGATCAAATATGAATGAGTCTTAATTAAATAAACAAGCAAATCAACTGAAATTGTGTTCTGTCTTAGGATCGAATCTACCCCCCAAAAGCCAAAGGTTCAGATTAGCGAGTAACAAAGTATCCCAAATTCTTTATATTGCACGCACTTTTAATCAGATGTGATATCAGCGGACCATTACATTCAACTGCTCTTCTCGCAATAATACATTGACTATTCACTGCTACAATTTCGCCCATGCACTGCAGATCAGTTTACGTAATAGGCTATAAAAAAACTCTGAGACATGATCCGGACTGTCCGATGATGGAGCACTAAACCCGACGTGTTTATTTCCCGGATGCGTTGAGCAGCGACACAGTAAATGCAGTTAAAAGCAAACACAACATTAGCACCATCAGCCCCGTTATCTGATCGCTGATAACACACCGCCGCGTGCCCTATTTATCAACACGCTTGCGCCGAACGAGATGACAGAAGAGAGCCGAGGAAGCAATGAGATAAACAGCTAAACGCTTACATCCTTTCTCCGGCGCTCAACAATCGCCCCTCCAGCATTATCTCGGGTAGAAAATCCATATCGTAGGACGAAGTCATGTTCAGGCTGACCGTGTTGTGAGCCGCTGGCTGGATAACGCCCGCCTTCCGCGCGAGCTTGCCTGCCGAGTTTGGGGCGCGCGAGACGGAGAGGGACAGGTGCAGCAGCGCTTGTCACGTTCTTTTCCGCTCACCCATTAGAGTGTTTTTCCTCAATAGTCCCTTCAAAAAAAACCTTCTCACAGACAACTAGCGCTCCGGAGCGTCAAGCACCGGGAAGGGAGAGGCGTGGCTGCTCGAGCTGCTGCTGCAGCGAGTTTTTAACCAATGCATCTCTGAGCCGTATCAGCCGGTCGGCTTTATAGAAATGAAAGAAAGAATAGAAGTATCCAAACCGGTAAGACCTTCTTCCATTTTAGGAAACAACAAAAATAGATTTTTTGAAGAATGTTCATGCAGCTCTTATCCATACAATGGAAGCGGATGGGGACTGGAACTGTCTGGGCCAAAAAACAAAAACGAAACTGTAAAAACATTACAGCCCACATTAGCTCTAAAATCACATTTACATATATTCAAATACAACACACCAAGATATGATGTTATTTCATTAGTTAAAGGGATAGTTTACCCAAAAATGGAAATTCTGTTCCAAACCTATCACAAAAGAAGATATTTGGAAGAATACTGGCAACCGAACAGTGACTTATATAGCATGGGGAAAAAAATACTATGGAGGTCAATGGCTACCGTCAACTTTTTGGTTGCTAACATTCTACAAAATGTATATTTTGTGTGTGTTTAACAGAATAAAGAAACTCGTAGAGGTTTGGAACAAATTTTGGGCGAGTAAATGATGACAGAATTTTCATTTTTGGGTGAACGATCCCTTTAAACATCTCCAGTTTCCTTTCACTTTCATTGTAACCAGGACAAAATAACTCAAACTGAGCAAAATATTACTTTTGTGTTCAACAGAAGAAAGAAAAACACTTGTTTACAAACAACCCTGTATTTTTCATCGTTGAGGAAAAACTATACCTTGTATATAAAAAGCAACCTTGCAGAAACATGTATTGTTCCTAATTATTGAGATTACCATAGAGTCGTAGACGGAAATGAGGTTGAGAGATGATAAAGTAACCTCTAGGTATTGAAGATTTATTGCATCAGTGTATTTATTGCATCGAATGATGAATGCAATACAAGGCGCATCCCCATTTTACTGCGCTCATCCGTTCATGCGTATGAAAGAGCACGTTTTCTTTTTGTTTCCCCTCATGTGCCCCCAGGGGAAGGGGGTCTCGAGCCGCGGCTCTACAGAGCACGTGCAGGAACTAGGTCATGGGAAACACACTCATGCTTAATGCATATATACACACACACAAATGATGGGGAGGAAGAGGACGTTGTGCCTCACATTCTGTAGCACATAACCAAGTAAAATAAAAAGATCTGGGGATGCATGAATTAGGAACCATTAAAAATTGCATTGCTTTGCAGTTTATGCTTTTAAATTGTCCGTGGTAATTAGATAACAACATATTCAGCCAAAAGCTTCAAAACAAAACAAAAATCCATAATGGGCCATGCTTGTCTTTAAAGACCAAGCGCAATGAAGGATTGCAGCTGTCATTAAAAAGCAGTTGCATAGAATTAAAGTGCAACAAACAGCCAAATTAAACCTGTAGAAAACAGTTTTAGCGAATTGCAAAAAACAAAACACGTGTTGTGGTCTGTTATGACCTGTAGCCAACAACGTGCTAGTATTTGCATGCGTTCAAGTGAGGTGTTTGTGTATGCAAGGATGCACAATCAATATTTCCTTCTTACTGTAACATTTATGAGAAAACAGAAAACAAAACTAACCCTAGAGCCAGATCCTTAGAGACAGTTTAGATATAGGCCAAGATTTCTGTAATGATTTTACACAAATTATTATAATACGCAAACTGAGCCGCTGGGGTCATCTTTCCCTCTAAGAAACACTTGTAAATACCGCCTCCAGCTTGGACAGTTGAGCAAAGGTGACTCTCATACATAAATAAATAAGTAGGTAATATACAATAATTTCCAACATTACATTAAGTCAATATATGTAGGCCTAAAACCACCAATACAAAATATGAGTACTTATACAGTCCACTGCCCTAAAATATCAATTTGTGCATCAATTACACAGGGAAAAAAAATAAATTTTAGGGTGAACAAAGAAAAATAAATACATTGGGAGTGCTGGACAGGTTTATAAACATTCTGCTGTTCTCGCACAATGCGATATCTACTACCTTGAGCAAATATACCATTACATAATGGATTGTGCAATAAAGAAGCAATTTACGAATGCTCTGTATTGCTGTTACACACCCATGTTATGGAGATGATGAATTCACTAAATGGGCTTCTGTTTGGAGAGAAAATTCAGCAGTAAACCCAAAGACAGCCAAAGCTTACACTAAAGAAATAGGGGTGAACATGAAGGAAAGGACGCATTGTAGACTGCTAACAAACAATGCTAACACAAGTCTCGTCGTATGTGTGCTATAGACAGAATATTCTTGCTTAATAAGGTACATTTCCATACTGTACAAATATGTTTCAAGCCTTTTAGCTACTCAGTTTTTAAATGCAGTCCTTTTCTCCAAAACTAAGCCATCTGAAGACATGGCAGCCAACCCAATGTAAGTAAACCCAAACTGACTTGAGAGTAAAACATTGACGCAACTAAGCACATTACTAGATAACCTTCGCAGAAGTAAACAGCGCATAGCACACTTTGTTTATAGTTTTACTATAAATCTTACTTAGCTTTAAGGAGCTAAAATGCAGCAGATTTTAGGGGCTAACGCAGAGCCAATTTTCTGTCTTTTCTGTAGCGGAAACACACCAGGATAGATGTCTGGCACCCTGACTGTGGAAAAGAGGCAACAGGGATAGTAGTGATTTCTCTGGATACCCATTTTACTGATATCTGGCAGGTAGCGGGGACAATTTACGTGTGGTATTAAGTGGCTTAAGCAGTTGGGAACAAGAACTCACGCCACAGACCTTCATGTCGCCCCCTGAACATCCTTCAATCTTTCTGGCTTCCTCTTCTGTGTCCTTCTCTTGGGGTTAAGAAGTCTGATGAAAGCACTTAAGGGCTGATATAATTCTCTCTCACTGAAGATAATGGAATTTAGCCACAAGACATCTTTCATATGAGCTCCCCTCTTCCTCGCTGTCTCTCACTCTCTCTCACACTCTCAGGCCAAAGGTTTCCCTGTTCTTCCTCCTGCAGTTGTTATTGTTACCCTTTTACCTTTCTCCGTTCTTTTATTGTCATTTTTTTGTCCTTCTTTTTCTCACCTTCTCCCCAGGGGTTTCGGGGGTATAGCCTGAATATTTTCTCTTGCCCTGAACCTGCTTAGTGCGTTACTGTTGCCTCACATCATTGTGAGTAGAGAGTTGCCAGCGGTAATTTTAATCACAGTAGACCATTGCGAACATTCTCTTGCCCTGAACCTGCTTAGTGCGTTACTGTTGCCTCACATTATTGTGAGTAGAGAGTTGCCAGCGGTAATTTTAATCACAGTAGACCATTGCGAACGTATGCAGCAAGTGGCAATATGGATAACCTATATTTTTTTTCACTATAAACACACACCAGAGGATTACGTGAGGTAAACATATATTCACATTGTCAGACAAATCAGGAAAACTAGATATATATATTTTGTAAAACAAATTTTTTTAATCATCAGGCACAATACCTTAACGCATCTTTACATTACATATCTTAAGGTTTAAAATATTCTGTATATAGTTTATCTTATCTTTTATGATTCGTATCATGATGCATTACATTGATAACCTACAGAAAATCGTTTTTATTTCGGCATAAATGCCTTGGGCTGAGCTCCCAATGTCCTTGCATCCTAGTTACGCCCCTGTTCTGCCTCATTTTCTTGGGGACCTTGTTCTTTGTGTTCTCTCTCTCTCTTTCTCACACCTTCTCTCTCTCTCTGTACGCCTCTACCCCTTGGGTCTGGACCCAGCTGGCCTATAACACGTATTGATTGACCACGTAGGAGGAGAGCAAGGAGACAAGAGAGAGAGAGAGAAAGGCAGGCCCGGCAGTCTGCAATGCACGGAGACAAAAATAGTACACCAGGAGTTCAAACCGAACGGAGAGCGAGAGAAAGAGAAAGAGTGGGGGCAGGGAAGGTAGATAGATGGGGGATAAGACGAAGGAGAACACGTTAAAGATTGCAGATATGGGACGGAAAAAAAAGATTGCATGTATAAGGGGTGGTCTTAAAATATCGAGGAAGCATAGCTGCTGGAAAGGAAGAAACTCGGTGAGGACCATTCGTAAACTTAAAATGAGAAATGCACTCCTTTTCCATCGTTGGTCTCAATGGTGTTTTTGTAGGGTGGATTTTTAGAATAAGGAGGTGTGTCTAATTGAACAACTCGGCCCAGAATAAGATCCAGAACTGCTATCGCACATTTAAAAAGCAAAGCTGTATAAGTCAACATAGGCATATTTCTACAAAAAAAGTGTTCTACTTACATTTTTGCAAAACTCCAAAAACGTCCGTATACATAGTCACATATCATACAAAACACTTTTACCATAGTGCATAATTATTAAATGTTTACATATGCAACCAAATATGTATCCAGTTACATAGTAAACTTGCTTGGTAGCTCACCTGGTACAGGTGGTACATTTTCAATGTGGGGCATTTGGGTTTGAGTCCCAAGACTTGTAAGCAAGCTAAAACAGCATGGTTGCTTCAGCAAATGCGTTTTTATCATGTTTTCTTTTTGTTAACATATCGGTTAAGTTTAGGGTCCAGTTTAGTGTGGGTGATACAATATTTTCAAAAGGCATTAACCTTTTAGTGCCACTCACCAGAGAGTATCAAACTGCCGCAATATGTACAACAACCAAGATAAATAATAAAACATTGCCATATTCATGTTCATCCATTTTGCATAAAACTGAATGTGCTGTTAGCACCAATCACTCGACATTTCACTTTGAAAGTGTCGCAAAACTTGCAAGAAGCAACGTAATAAATGAGTCTGGGTTTGTAGATGTGATACTTTAGCACTTATAGTTCCAATTTGGATGAGCAGTATTCAAAATAATCAGTATATGTGCACCCCATATCAGTTAAATTCATGCAGAAAGTGGCACCAGGCTTGACCACGCAAACAACCTAAGTCACTCCTCCTACGTGTAAATAACATCCCCTGAGAAAAATGCAAATATATATCACAGTATAGCAAAATCTCTATGTTTTGATGTCTTTCTATTGTTGCACAGTATATATACATATATCAGCCCTAGCCTATAGCCTTGTGCATGCGTGCATGTAGACGCACAGATGGGCTGTTGGTCTGTCAG